TTCCCAATGCATAAACCCTATGCCCTTCTTCCCTCTGGGCGTTTGACTTTCAAGCATCTACTTTTTTAATGTAAATTTTATTAAAATTACCACCACCCAGATCAAGCAACAGAACAAAAACAGAACCCAAAAGTCCTATTGTGCTCCTTTCCAGTGACTGTCACCCAAGCAATAACTAGTATCCTGACTTCTAAGACCATGTATTAGTTTTGCATGCTTTTGAACTGTATACAGATGAAGTCATTTCGGTTATACTCTTTTGTAAATGGTTTCTTTCACTCAATATTCCTTTTTCAAGATTGTTGCATGTAGTTAAAGGTCAAGAAACTACCTTGGAAGTTTAAAAAAGTACATTAACCATTCTTTTTCATTGAGATATAATTGACATATAACATTGTATTAGTTTCAGGTGATATTTCTACATGTTGTGAAATGATCACCACAGTAAATCTAGTTAACATCCCTTACCACACACAGTACATTTTTTTTCCATGTAGTGAGAATTTTCAAGATCTACTCTCTTAGCAACTTTCAAATATGCAAAACGGTATTGTTAACTATAGTCACCATGTTGTACTTTATATCACCCTGATTAATTTATTTTATAACTGGAAGTGTGTACCTTTGACCACCTTCACTCATTTCGCCCACTCCCCACCCCCACAACATACCCCTCTTGCCTCTGGCAACCACCAATCTATTCTCTATATCCATAAGTTTGAATAATTTTGGTTTTAGATTCCTCATATAAGTGAGATCATACTGTATTTGTCTTTCTGTGTCTGGCTTGTTTCATTGAAGCATAATGCTCTCAAGGTCTATCCATGTTGTCACAAACAGCAAGATTTCCTTCATTTTCATGGTCAAGTTGTACTCCATTGTATGTACGCACCACATTTTTTAAATTCATTCATCCATTTATGGACACTTAGGTTTCTTCCATGTCTTGGCTATTGTGAATAAAGCTGCAATGGATGTGGCAGTGCGTATATATTTTTGAGTTAAGTGTTTTTCTTTTCTTTGGATAAATACCCACAACTGGAATTACTGGATCTATAGTGGTTCTATTTTTACTTTTTTCAGGAACCTCCATTCTGTTTTCTATCATCGCTGTACCAATTTATATTCCCAGTAACAGTGCACAACGGCTCCCTTTTCTCCGCATTTTTGCCAACACTTGTCATCGCTTGTCTTTTTTTTTTTTTTTTGAGGAAGATTGGCTCTGAGGTAACGCCTATTGCCAATCTCCCTCTTTTTGCTTGAGGAAGATTGTCACTCACCTAACATCTGTGCTAATCTTCCTCTATCTTATGTGGGATGCCACTACAGCATGGCTTTACGAGTGGTACTAGGTCCACGCCTAGGATCTGAACCTGTGAACTCCAGGCTGCCGAAGCAAAGCATGTGAACTTAACCACTACACCACCAGGCTGGCCTCTGTCTTGTCTTTTTGATAATAGCCATCCTAACAGGAGTGGGTGATATCGCTTTGTGGTTTTGATTTGCATTCCCTGATGATTAGTGACATTGAGCACCTTTTCATGTACCATTGGCCATCTGTATGTCTTCTTTGGAAAAATGTTTATTCAGATCCTCTGCCCGTTTTTTAATCAGATTGTTTGTTGTTTTGTTATTGAGTTCTATGAGTTCTTTTTATAGTTTGGATATCAATCCCTTATCAGATATATGATTTGCAAATATTTTCTCCCATTTGATAGGTTGTCTGTTTACTCAGTTGGTTTTCTTTGCTGTTCAGAACCTTTTAGTTTGATGTGTTTATTTTTTTTTTTTTTTTACCTTTGTTGACTTTGCATTTTTATCAAATCCAAAAAATCACCAAGACCTATGTCAAGGAGCTTACCACCTACATTTTCTTCTGGGAGTTTTGTGGTTTCAGGTCTTATGTCCAAGTCCTTAATCCATTTTGAGTTAATTTTTGTGTATGATGTGAGAGAGTGATCCAGTTTTATTCTTTTACATGTGGCTGTCCAATTTTCCCAAAACCATTTATTGAAGAGAATGTTCTTTCACCATTATGTATTCTTGGCTCCTTTGTCAGAAAATAATTGACCATATCTGTATGGGCTTATTTCTGGGTGTGCTATTCTGTCCCACTGATCTATGTGTCCATTTTTATGCCAATACCATACTGTTTTGATTACTATGGTTTGCAATATAGTTTGATATCAGAAAGCATAACTATTTTTTCTATTTGCATTTTTATATCAATCTAAAAGCTCCTTGTAGCAATATAGATATTTGTGATAAACACAACCTATCAAAATCTGTAGGATACAGCTAAAGCAACAATAAAAATGAATAAACCATTGATATATGTAATGACATAGATGAATCTCAGGAGCATTGAGCTAATTGAAGGAAACTAGACATAAAAGACCATATGCTGTACAATTCCATTTACATAAAATTCTAGAAGAGGCAAGACTATTGTGATAGAAAGCAGATCAGCGTTTGCCCGGGCCAAAGGTGGTGGGAAAGTGGGAAGGAGATTAACTTCAATGGGGCCTGAGGGAACTTTTTGAAGTGATGGACATGTCTTATTTCTCAATTATGATGGTAGTTAATGAATCTTATTGTATGAAAATTATACCTCAGTAAATCCAATTTTTAAAATACCATGAATAATAAGATAAAAAAATAAATGCCCTAGAAATAAATCCAAAAATAGGAAGAAGAAGCCAGTTTTGAAGTGAAGAAAATAATAAAACTTTTCTGCAAGATATCAAGGATAATCTAAGCATATAAGGACTATGCTTTGCTCATGGATTAAAAGACTCAATACTTTAAAAATGCCAAGTCTCTCCAAAGTGATCTGTAGATTCAACACCATTTTAGTCAAAAGTTCAACAATCTTTCTTTGTGGAGCTTAATAAAATGACTTTAAAATTTATAAGGAAGTACAAATACTAGATTAACCAAGGTATATTTGGGGAAAAAAACAAATTGGAGGGATTTGCCCTATCAGATATGAATTAACATAGTGTATTATTAGCACAAGGATAGACAAGTATCTTAAGAGAACAGTATAGAGAGCCCAGAAACGGAACCAGGAAATTTGATGTAAGACAAAAGTAATATTACAGAGCTGAGGTTGGAAATAATGGGTTTTTCAATAAATATCGTAGGTGTTTATGGTGTAAGCACAATTGTTTTATCATCTTAAAAAGAAGAAACTGGATGCCTATCTTGTATTGTATACAAAAATCAATCTGACGTGAAAAAAATATTCAAAAACTTAAAAGTAAATCTACAAAACATTTTTGTGTGTGTGGGGAAGATTGGCCCTGAGCTAACATCTGTTGCCAATCTTCCTCTTTCTGCTTGAGGAAGATTGTTGCTGAGCTAACACCTGTGCCAGTCTTTCTCTATTTTATGTGGGATGCTGCCACAGCATGGCTTTACCAGCAGTTCTAGGTCTATGCCCAGGATCTGGGCCTGCAAACCCTGAGCTGCCTGCCGAAGTGGAGTGCACAAAGTTAACAACTATACCACTGGGCCAGCCCCCTACAAAACTTTTTTGAAACAGCATAATGGAATTTTCTATGTTGGGATAGAAAAGGATTTCTTAATTATGATACAAAACACAAGCCATAATGGAAAGATTGATAAATTTGACCTCATCCAAAATTGAATTATATTCATCAAAAAATACCAAAAAAAGAGTGAGAAGACAGGTCACAGACAGGGTAATGATGTATATAGATCACGAACCGGGTAATGATGTTTGCAAAACATAAAACCAACAAAGGACTGGTATCCAGAATACATAGATTTTTAAAAGTCTCCCAAGAATCAGTGAGAAAAAGAAACCATCCGCCAGAAAAACAACAAAAGAAATGTGTACAGATATTTCACAGAAGAGCCAGCTCAAATAATCCTAACACGAAAGGACCTTAAATGTGTGAAAAGATGTTCAACTTCACTGGTAATCAGAGAAATACAAATTTAAAACATTATGAGAAATCATTTTACACCCATAAGGAAGGCAAATTTTTAAAAGATAAACAATGCCAAATTTTGGCAAGCTGTTTAATAGTGGGAACTCCTATTCACTGCTGGTAGGGCTATAAATTATTTTAGCCACTTCAGAAAACAGTTGGTCTTTCCCTATAAACTGAAACATGTACATTTCCCACAATCCAGCAATTTCATTAGTATGTATAGATTCTAGAGAAACTGTTTCACCCTTCTTACACGTGTTAGCCAGGATCATGTAAAACAATGTTTATAGAAGCTTTGTTCATTACAGAAAACATTGGAAACAACCCAAATGTCCATCAATAGTAGAATGGATAAATGTGGCAAAATTTCATAATGGAATACTACAGAATAATAAAAAAATGAATGACCTATAGCTATACGTGACAATATGTATGAATTATGAAAAAACATAATTTTAAGTGAAAGGATAAAGTCACAAATATACCACTTGATTATATTTATATAAAATTCAAAACCTGGCAAATCTAATAATGTTCTATTTAGGGTTACCTATTTGGGAGTAAAATCTCCAAAGAAAGCAAGAGAACGGTTAGTTCATAATTGAAGATAATGGTTCCTGCTCAGTGAGAGAGCTGCGATCAGTGAGTGGCATCTGAGAGGCCCTGAAGGACTGTAATGCTCTAGCTCTTGATCTCAGCGGTATGTGGTCCACAGGCGTTCATTTGTTGCTCTTTAACATGTGCATATTTATCTTCTTTCACTACTTTTGTGTATGCTATGTTCAAAAACGTTTTAAATTGCAGATTCCAAGGACACAAAACCGGATATTTCAGTTCAATAGTTTAGCTCGGCATCAAGAAATCTCAATTTTTGTCAAGTTCCCATGGTAATTCTGATAAAAATAGTCTGAGGACCACACTTCAAATGCTGCTTATTATTTCTGTGGATTTGAACTCGTCCTTCTTGGAACGTGCCATTTTCAAAAGAGCTACAGCGTGGTTAAAAGACGCAGTTCATAATAAATAAACACACAACTCTTCCAATTCCAGAAACTACCACTTTACTGTACAAAAGACTAAACATTTACAAAAGAAAATTAAAAGGAGTCGCATTTTTAGGCCACATTGGGAAAGTTACACAACAGTCTGATGAATCAACATCGTAGCAGGTCTCCGTACCATGTCAGTACCATCCAGAGAAATCCAGCCAACCATTACACCACGGGTTGAAGTGTTCAGTACCTGAAAGTCAACCAGTGCCCTCTTGGTTTATCATTTGCCTATAAAAGTATAAAACCCTGGCATCCTTACAAAACATGAAATTATTGTCAGAGAACTTTATAGGAATTAAATTTTGTTAAAAGAAATAAAATATAAAAAATGTGACATAGGTCAGCTGCCAGTCAATATTAATGTTAAATTTTCCTAAGATATATTAAGTTACAACAATCGGTCCAAACAACACGGTTTAATTATTTTCGAGATCTGACTATATAGTGCTGCTGTTCCATGCAATGTTGCTATGGCTCAGTTTTATTTTACATATGTACAGATCATGTTATTGTATATACACATCAAGGAACTACTCCAGCCATCACATCTCAATGGCAGTGCCTAGTTTTTAGGCAGAAAGTTTTCCTTTGGCTTCTTGCTCACAGCAAGGGAGGTGGGCAGCCATTGCCTTCCAAGAGTTCACTGCATTTAGGGAAATCTGGACTCTCAGCTTGTTTTCCTCATGGAATGATGAGCAATATTAAGGATTTGGACTGATAAATAGTGTCTCTGGTTGAACGTTTCAAACATTAGCTACACTTTTGACTTCTGTGCTTCTACAAGACTGTATGACCCTTTCATGTTGGCTCTTCTTGCAAAGTAAATGATCATTCCAATGGCAGGTATTATTAAGGAGGATGCACAATACAGCACGAGAAGTTCAGGGGAAAAATAGTCCTTGTTATTCTCTCTTCCTGGAAAATAACAAAATGGATGCAATTAATGTCTAGTGCAAAGAGAAATTGTTTAATAATATAATAATTACATATTTTATTTTAACAGCGCAACTAGTTCTCTAAAGAGAAGTAAATCAAAGCAGCGACAAGCACCAACAGGACCCAAAATGCATCTTTCTCTAACTTATCCAAGTAATCAGGTGGTATTTGCTATAGTCATGATAGGTCTCAAGATGACAGCTGTTGGCTTCCACAAACTTGGATTCAAATAGATTTAGGTTCAATTGTAGAGTGGAAGGAAGAGGTTAACTTTTTAGGGCTCATTTACAAGAGCTGGAATTGGAGAGGAGTGTTTGCTTTGGGCAATATAAATATCTAATAAAGAGTTAGGACTCAGATCACCGTGAATTAAAATGACTAACCAATTCTCCAAGAAAATCCTTGTAACATGTAGAGTGTAACCTTGATAGTCAAACACCCATATACAAAAAAGTAAGGGAAAGAATTCTTGTGAATGGCTTTTTCAGAGAGAGATAGAAAACTTCATATTTTGTATCTCTGAAGTGGGACATCTTAATACATGTTATCACTCTTCAGCACTTATATTATGTCTTGATAAACGAGTTCTTTGGATAGTATCAGGTTTCAGCTTAAATGTTACTTACTCAGAGAGGCATTCTCTGACCCACATCTCCATCCTAATTTACTTTTATAACCCACTACACTTTCATAGCTCTTATCACAGCTTATAATTAAATATTTGTTTGTATGATTATCTATTAAATTTGGTTTCCTCCTCCAGACTGTAAATTACATAAGGAGGTGTGTCTATGTTCTCTTTGGTCCACTGTAAATAGCCAGTGCCTGGCTCACTGCTTGGAGTATTTGTACTCAATTAACATTTTTTTTAATAGTAATATATATTTTTTCTTTCTACAGCGTGTCATTTTGTCATTTAGTTGTAACGGGTATAGAAAGTAATAGTACACAAAAAGTTTAAAATTAGTACTCTTTCTAATCTACTAAAATTCATCTGACAGCTGCAATACTATTTAGCATCTTAACCTCATGAGAACATCTAAAGAAGATAGCATGTCATTTACTGGAGATTTGTTGCTGTTTATACCTATGCTTGTATAGCATCATATGATCTCCCAAGTATTAAGTTTCCTTAAGTGGCATACGTGTAGTCTCAGTCCTGGAAGAAATGAGTGACCTGATTTTAGTGGTCACTACATTTCCTCTAGAGGTTTCTAATCACTGGAGGTCAAGCAAGTAGAAAGAATCACGAGGGTCAGATGATAGGGAGTCAATTTTTTCGAATTATTGAAGTATGTAAACTTTACTTATGTTTACTTCATCATAAACATAATAATGATTGCCTCATTTTTCTACTTTCCTTTGCTAGAGCAGAACTAGTCAAAGTATATGGGTAATATTTTAATGGCATTTCTGTTATCATAATTATAGTGAGGCGTCAATATTGAGGACATACTGGGCAATGGTATTTCTGCTCCTATTGCTTTCTTTTCAAGTTAATAAATATTATCTTTCTTTTTTTAAATTACTTTTGTGTGTGTGTGTGTGAGGAAGATTGTCCCTGAGCTAACATCTATTGCCAATATTTCTTTTTTTGCTTGAGGAAGATCATAGCTGAGCTAACATCTGTGTCAATCTTCCTCTATTTTATGTGGGATGCCACCACAGCATGGCTAGACAAGTGGTACTGAGTCCATGTCCAGGATCCGAACTTGTGAACCCCAAGCCACGGAAGCAGAGCTCACAAACTTAACCACTATGCCACAGGGCCGGCCCCTAATAAATATTATCTTTTGCCTTCAGTTTTCCCTGCGGACATCTGCAGTAAAACACAAATTTGCTTCTGAGTTGGTTACCAGGACAACCTTCAAATACAATTTTCTAGTAGCTGTATAAACACTGAAAATCCTAAAGACTCCCAACCATTTCTATCACTGGAAAACATTCAAGCCAAAACAAAACAAAACAAAATGAATTTTAAAACTCAGCTAAATACAAAGGAAGGCTAGTTCAAAGTACCCAGGAAAGATGTCAAATGTTTGTCTCTGTTCGCATGTAGTTACTTTAAACCATATTTAGCTTTGAGACCTGAATTGTTAGCTTAGTGCCTAATATTCTTTGATTATTCATTTAAGTAATGAGTGAAAAACAGCAAATATGTAAGACTAATTTAGTAAAGCAATTAGAAAAGACAACAATGTGTGAGAGAGAAAGAGTTAAAAAGTGGAGGAGAAGCTTTGATATGTCTTTGAAAGAGAATCATTAACTACAAACAGAATTACAAAATTATTAGGAGTCCGATTTCCTGGGACTAGGCTTAATTAAAGGTGGAGGCACCAAGGATTAAAGAAAACAGGAATGAGTGAATTTCAACCTACTCATAACTAAGAGCTCAAACTGTCCAGAATCATCCCCAACCTCATTGGAAGCACTGATTACATACACCCCCGTGTCATTTTGAGTGACATGATACAAGGTAAATGTTCCATTCTTTGAACATATAGTAAATTCATTGGCCAGATCAACTCTTTTCAGGATAATCACTGCAGGCGGATGACTAAAAGTTTTACATGTAATTGTGATATTTTCCCCTTTTTTAACATTTCTAGATGGATGTATTGATATTGTCGTGTTTCGAGGAGGTACTGTGAAGACAGAAAATATATGGTAAGGCTTGCAATCTTGAGAAATTTGGCCAGATGAGTAAAATTTTTACTCATTTTTCTGACCTACGTTTAAATTTTCTTTACATTGGCAAGTAGTTGCTAACTCTGATAGCCAAGCGCCTGAGGCTCTTAAGAGTTGGCATTTGTTTGCAGTCTTGTGCACTCCAAGTATGGCTTCCAATACACAATGAAAGCTTATTAGCACACAAGGAGTGGGAGACTCATCAGTAAAGGCTGACATCGTAAAGGTTGCTTATGCCAATAAGATCAACAGATCCCACTGTGGGTTCACAAGAGGAGTTAGGAGACGAGGGGGCCCCTGAAGTTTCTCTGCTGAGGCCGCTGCCCCCTCCTTCTCTCTTGCCATCAGAATAGGGCAGGAGGGACAAGGGACTTAGATTTTTAAGGAGGCAATTCTGTAGCCTAGAGATTCTTTTATGCTGCTCAGCATCAAGACTGCCATTGCTGATTATTATCCTGAAAAGAGTCAATCCAGAAAATATGCAGTTACCCCATGTTCAGAGAATGGCATTCTCTTCTGGTAGGAAGGAAAAGAGTCTGGACAGAACACTTCTTTCTCTGTGTGCCAATCCTACTTCTTTAGTTTCCTTATAAGCCCCAGGGAAAAGTTTTGAAAATATGTTTAAACACTTAGGAAATGCAAGACCTCAGAGACCAATGATGAATCGACAACTTGAAAAAACAGACGGGAATTCTACACTCACCAATGATTAATGTCAATTTCCTGGCTAAACTCCATAGGATAGAGCAGCTGTGCAGATGATTTTAGCAAATATTAAGAAATAACCACAATCAACATGGAATTCACCTTCATTTTGCCAATTCATCTAATTTGCCAACTCATCTAATACTAGAAATTCTTTACAATCCACCAAACCTCTGATCTATTATAAAAATAATAAAAAACAAAAACAAAAAACTAACTAACCTTTAACATCAAGTGTTAGACTTCTTAATTGCAAGCCAACTTGGTTTTTAGATTCACACTCGTATACTCCCGCATCCTCTAACTGGGCCTTGTGGATGGTATATTCACCACCTGTGGACTTTAGTACTGTGTCTCCTGTCTCTGCTTTTTTCTTCAGGATTATCCAAGTTTGGGGAACATTTCCACATGTACAGGAGATAATAACAGTGTCTCCTTCCTTGACACTCTCAGAAGGAATAGCTCTAAGTTGTATGTCTTTTGGAGCAACTGTAAAGAAAATTGAAAAGGCACCTCTGATTGGAGTGAAATATAAACCAATTCCACATTAATTAATGACAGCAACAATAGCTATCAAAAAGCTATTCGTGCTGTTTGCATTAAATAATTAGATGGGCGAGTAAAGAAGTCAAGCATTGATGGATTGTTGTAAATGATCATGTTTTTAATAAAAGAAGACATGTCTTATGCTTCTCTCATCTCCCTTAATCTAATTATCTACCTAGCCTAGACAAAGAACGAGTGTTTAATAAACAGCTATAGAATTCAAATCTGAAAAAAAATTTTTTTTTCACACTGTTCTGCAAAATTTTTCCTTGAAGTACAAAGGCCTTTACAGGCTTCTGAGTTTTGAGCTGGATCCTCCCAGATCAAAAAATTAAACTGCGCAGAAATGGCTTTTTTACTTTCCTTAACAACCACAACTACCATTTATTAAGTGCCAGGCACTGCGCTAAGTACTTGACATACAACACCTTTATTAATACACAATCCATGGAAAGAGGTATCATATCACCATTTTATAAGTGAGATTCCTGTTAAGTTCATCTATTTTGTGACTTGATTTGAGATTCTTTCCCCCACAGGGCTACAGTACCATGGCATCTGTCCTAGCGGCTTTCTTTATGGTTGTGAATTGCCCTTCCAAGTTTCTTCCATTAAAATGCAAATTCTCATTGAGATGAGGTAACAAGAAAGTCACTAATACTCTAGTGGAAATAATACCAAGGGGTAAGACAGGAAATGACAGCCCCCGTGAAGAAAATGACCTTGAACCCCAAATGAGAAGGAATGGGGGAAAATCCAAATTGACCACCTCAGGATTTTGCCCAAAACTGCATAGTCCTTCAACCTGTCAACCGGGAATTGCTTTGTTCTCAGTCTTGGCTCTCCATTCTGGAGAGAGCAGTTCTGGATTTTATAACTTAATCCACTCTAGTGGTTCCGTGCCATCAGGCTGATGAGCCAGAGGGCATGGTCACTGCTACTCTTAGTCGCAGAACAAAAAGTTTAAATGCCTTCTTAGGCTTCTAAGCAAATACTAGCAGGCACCTTGAACAATTACCACTCAGTGTCCAATTCCGCCAGATATGGTGGCTTTAATCCTAAGTAATTTCCAAATACATATCTACATCTTCCCATCCTTATTTCAACACCATGATCATTGCCTCATAAGTGTAACTGGAAGTCCTGGCACAGTTCCTAGAGCTAGCATTCCACTTGAGGTTAAAAGAATTTCAGGATAAATAACTTAGAATGTTTCATGAGATGGTACTATTCCAGGAGTTTTCTACGCATAGGAAACATCATAGCTCTTCAAAATCCTCAATACATTTTTTTAGTAAAAATTTTGTTTTCAAAGAGGACTTTGTCCAAAACCAGTAACACAACAGAAATAATACTAGCAATAATAATTCATTAATCACACTCTGCTCACCTTGAATAGTTAATTCCACTTCTTTTCTGCTTTTTCCAGCCTGGTTAATCCCTTCACACACATAAATACCAGAATCTTCCATTTTTGTAGAAATTAAGGTGAGAGTTGTATTCTCAGAAAGAAACTGTAGCTCCCCATTATTCAGCTGCCTTCTCCACAGGATTTTTGGAGCTGGAAGGCCATCGCTAGAGCATGTCATATTCACGGAACTACCTTCCTCGAGGATGGAGGAGGGGCTGACCGAGATGGTTGTATCTCTAGGGGCAACTAAAAAGGTAAGGACACTTGTTAATTTGATCTTTTATACCCTGAGTTCCACAGAGTTTTAATAATCTTGCAAAACTGGGCTATGGATTCAGTGAATTAGAACAGTTTTTAAACCTTGATAACTTTATCAAAGGAAGTTGCTGTCTTCATTTACTTTAGCAGATACAGAATGATAGGGAGCAGAATATGGACACATCAAGGATACTTCCTAATGGAATAAGTTCTGTAGAAACTCTCTTGCTACCAAAGAAGGGATGGTCAGTGATAGTGAGTATTGACATTTATGGTACATTAAATATGACCACAAATTATTTGAATCTACTATGTAAAGTGCCTATTTTTCCACCTCTTGAATCTAGACTGGCCTTGTGATTCACTTTGACCAACATAACATGGAAGAAGTAATACTGTAGGACTTCCAAACTTAAGCCTTAAGAGGCTGCTTTCATTGTCACCCTCTTGAAACACTGTGCTCTGGTGACTAAACCTAGGATACTTTCCTTGAGGGTAAGACATCACATGGAGAAAGGGAGGCCCCCACATCCCAGAGAGGGCTCCAGACATGTGAGTGAGGCCATCTGGGGCCAGCCATTCCCTGCTGACCTGCCAACTGACTGAAAATGTGTGAATGAGCTCATCTGATACCTCACTGAGCAGATGAACTGCCTATCTGACCTCTTGCCAGATTGCCAACTCATAGAATCATATGCCAATAAATGGTTATTGTTTTAAGTGTTGGGTGTAGCTTGTTATCACAATCATTATTTTGAAATTTCTTTCCAGTTATGTCCGGCCCCCCCCCCAACCCCGGAGGTTTTAACTATTAACCTTATGTTAACTATTGCCTGGCAAACATGACAAAGAAATCCATATTAAATTGTGGATACATCACACATGTACTTACTGTTAACATAAAGTGTCTGTGTACTCTGCCTTTGTTTGGGTTCAAATTCCATTTCATCAATATGTAACTTAGCCTGACAAACAAGAACTTTTCCAGTATCTTCAGTGGTGGGGATGAAGGTCATTTCCAGACTCTTGGTCTCTAGGGATTTATTATCCACATCCTCCAAAAAGTTTTTTTTCTTCATAATACTCTCCCCCTTGAGTAATTCAATCTCCAGCCGGTCAAATGGATACACATCAGGAACTTTGCAGCTTACATTGACTGGGTTTCCCTCCACTAGCAGACCACTCATCTCAATTTTTGGATCACTAGGGAACGCTGCAAATATAAAGCAAAAATGATGTTTATACATGACATTCAACAGAAAAATGGAACTAATCTTTATTAAAGGCAAAGGTCTCAAAATGATAGCTTTAAGTCAACTGGATAGAATGATCACCAATGTATAAATAATGACATTAAGTATAATATTTATTATACCAAATGTAAATAATGCTGTTAATAAAAAATACTTAGCACATGAAGTCATCAAAACATTATACTTCTTATTTTTCTTTTCTTAGTGATGCAATCTTGCTGATAGACATGGACTGATCTTTTTGAAGGACACGTCAGCTTCCACCATCTTAGTAACTATACATTTAAAATGTTTTAACTATTTGCCACGACGTATTGAATATTTACTATGTGCTAGCACCTTAATATTCATTATTTCAGTCTTCCAAACAGCCTGATAAAATGATTTTTATTTAACTTGTTTTACAGCTAGAAAGACTTATAGAGAATGTATTCTATAGCTAGGAAAACTTCTAAGACTTATAGAGGCTAAGAGATTTTAATTAGGCATCATATCTAACAAGTTGCTGAGTTGAGATGAGAACCCGTATTTCTCCGAGCTCAGAGCCCAGGCTTGGTTTCACAGAGCTGTGCAGTCTCTTGGTATCAAATAAGACTCACAAGGCACTTCTCAATTTAGACGTTTTAATTTCCAGTGGCCAAGTTTAGGCAGCAAGTTTTAGATATTTCTCAGACAATATTTGTAGTAGATTTGCTAAAAAATGTTTTTCCTTAAGAAAAATGTTGTTAAAGTGATACGTTCTCAAATATTTCCATATTGCATTAAGACTTCACTGCTGGTTCTCATTTCTGTTAAGAATGTGCCTACATCAGCAGATCCTGGACTCTGGGTAATATGACAACACAATAAAATTCATCCTTCTTTTGAGAGATTCAAATCCCTTTACGGACATACCCTAACTCATTCTGATCAAAATCCTGAGGGCTAACACAAGTTTGGGCAGGTTTTCTGGTGGAAAATCTCTGCAATATGTTGTCTTGAATTTTGCTAAATAAAACAAGGCAGAGCAATCCTCTCAAAGAAATAATTTTGTGGTCACTTAGCATATTTTATTGCTAATTCATTATAAACTGAGGAACTATAGCGATGTCAAATTCACTGAGATTTAAGATCATAAAGGATTTTTATTAAGGTGACAAGAACAGCAAGAAAAAGTGGCGTGTGTGTGTGTGTGTGTGTGTGTGTGTAAATCAACATTGAGATCTAGTGCTATCTGTTCGTTCTGCTTTTCACCTGAACTGCTGCCACTGACCATCCACTATGACCAATCTTAGTCCCTGTCTTCATTTTTGGCTTTCTCCTGCTCCCCATTGCCCCGTTTATTCCCCTCCTGCCAATCAGCTTTCCAAATGTGACTTCAAAACAGTAGCCTTGGGCCTCACCCTCAATTCAAGCAGTTGAGCAGCAGTCATCCCCACCCTGTTATCTGAACGGGTACTGACTCTCACTCCTTGTTCACTATCACTTCTGTACACCCCATACACACAGAGACAGGATGGGAAGCAGGGAACGTGTAGTGTATTCAAGTGCATGATGGGAGAGCATTGACAAGACTCAAACTAATGATTATGGATGCTATGTACAGGTGCAATATATACTTAAGATTTAGGCCAGTTAAGTTGCATCAAAAATTCTGGTTCAGAGATTTAGGAACCATTCACAATGCTAAGTTCCCTTTCTAAATACATGGATCTCATTGTATATCACACACTTATATTCTGTTTCTTCCAATGGAAATGAAAAAAAAAAACAGTAAACAACTCTGAAAGCCACTTACAGTAGAGGTCCACCTTAATTTCCTTTTCCACTTTCTTATGCCCACAGGTCACGATGCACAGGTAAGAATGTTCATTCTCAAAACTCACAGGGCTCAGGGTCAGTGTGGACTTGGTCCCCTCAGTCCTCACCTTCCCACTCAGAGGGCTGTCTATCTGGGTTCTCCAAGAGATAGATGGGGACTCGCAGCCCATGACACGACATGTCAACGTGACTGAGTCACCAATCTGAGTAGCAATCTGGGGTCCAGGGGAGATCTCAACAGTAAACAGTTTCTCTAGGGGAAAAAGAACAAGATGAAACAAAGATAAGATTCTTTTCTTCTTTCCCACATTCCAGTATGTCATCTTTTTTTCTGTCTCCTTTCAGCTAACATCTGTGCCAACAAATTATTCCTTTCCACCTTGGGACCATCAGGAATGAGACCACGTCTTTTAAGAATAAAGCCATAATAGTCTGTTGATTCATTCATTTAACAGAATGAATGTGGGTAAAAATTTGTCAAGACAAAGATTGGCATCTTTTCATAACAATAATTCAGTCTCTGCTCAAATGTGCTTTATCAAAACCCTGTAATAGTGGGCAACAGCTTAAATAATTTGAGGTTCCAGTGTGTCAAGCATTATGTAAACCACATTACATTTATTGTCTCATTTAATCCTCACAACAACTTCATGAACTCAGGCTATTAATTCTTCTCTTTCACTTTCTCCTTCTGCTGCTTCTCCTATTTTCCTCCTCTCCTCCTCCTCTTCCTCCTCCTCCTCTACCTCCTTAAGGAAACTCAGGTTCAGAAATGCTAAATAAATTTACCCAGCTTGCAAATGGCAAAATTAGGGCTTGAAGCCAGGTGGGTCTAATTCAAGATCCCAGCTTTTCAGTTGCTCGAACAACTAAATCAAATCATCCTCATATGGAGATTAAACTAGATAGAAGAGAGATACTGAAAAAAGCTACCAGAAAATGTCTTCTAGTCAGATACAATCCCCATAACAGACCAGTGCTTAGAGCTTCTGTACCAGCAATATAAAGTTAGACCATTGACAGTTACCCAGAATCACATTGCGAGCAAAGTCAAAATCTAAGCATTAAAGTGATACACAATCTGAATCTAAAATTTGTCGTTGTAACATAAAAATATTTTACAATTAATTCAGGAGCTGAAAATGGAGATGTGAGGGCAAACTCCTACATCTCATACACCCAGGAAGGCTCTTTGGCTGCCAGCGCTATCCCTGCTGGGCACAAGGCTGCTTTGGGATGATTGCTATCTAGAGAGAAAGGAAATTCCAAGTCTCCACTCCCTGATCCCCTGAAGAGACTGAGAGTGGCTGGGCAACTCTGAAGTGACAGATGAGGCTCCACAGAAAATCACTAAAACCATCCTTGTAAATAACAAGCTGGAGATAGAAGAAAGAAATCTCGACATATAAATAATCCAAATACACTACATTTTGCAGGGTTCTCATCTGTGCCAGAAGTTATTTTTCTCCTTTTGGGTTGTCTAATTGTGACATTGTGGTATCTTCTAAAGAATGCTTTCCTCAAATTACCCCAATAAATTGATATGCTATTACATTTTGAAAGAGAAAGATCATTCAGAAAAACCAGAGTTTCTGAATTCCTTATATGCTAGTGTGAGAATAGGGAACTTTAAAAACAGAACCACTTCCTGCCCATTAACAGTTCTCAGATCATTCTTTACGGTGACTGTGTATGTTACCATGTGAACTGGTGGCTCCTGCGGGAGTAGTTCATAGGTAACTGAAAGGCCAAGTTCAAGTCTCTCTTCCGTACTTAAGGTTGTTAGTATCCTGTGATACAAAGTGCAAAACAACTCTCCCTACCCTGCAGAATGCACTTCTTTTTCACATGAAAGAGGATTCAGCTTATTATGGGGTGGAGGTATTCCAGGTTGGATGATTAGCTTTACGTGTTTTTATTAGTGTAATATCTTTCCTAGTCTCTTGAGAAGGCTAATCCGAGTTAACCTGCTGATGGTGAGTGTGAATTTTATTTTTTTAACCATCCAAGTTTAAACTCTATGTTTTCATATTTTAAAACTGTGTTGCCCATGTTTACAATTTATTCACTCAACATTTACTGAGCACCTATGATGTAGCAGGCACTGAAATATTAAAACACACACACATATAGTTCCTGACTTTAAGGAGCTTAGAGTTTAATCGAAAGACCCACTTAAATAGATACATTATTTTGCCTCTTACTGACGAACTTTTCAATTATCTATGGCAGTTGCCATAACTTTTTCATGTCTGTTCCCAGCAGTAAGCACAACTCTTGGATTCTTGGTCAAGGGCTCTTAATATGTGTTGAACTGAACAGAAGAATATACGTCAATAAGAAGTGTTGACTGGACACAAAGGGAGGAACGACTAGGTTTGTCCAGCACAGTCTGGAATTGGGAGGCTGACATGAGCTTTGTCTTGAAGGACAGCTAAGACTTTGCTGAGCGAGAGAAGGGTATTCCAGGCAGAAGGAATGAACAGAGGTACAAGGTACAAGGTACAAGGTCACCAACAAAGCGGCAAAGGTAGTCTCTGACCAGATTGTGAAGAGTTGTATGCAACTATTTTAAGAAATGTGAATTTTAATTTACATGCAATTCGGGTTTGGTTGAAGTTATATAAATGAACTCCTTTTTTTGTCTAAGGTACATAACTCTGGTAGGAGAGTGTAGGATTGATTATCTTGGGGACAGAATGATAGCAGGGTGACCATTTAAAGACAGAGAGCTATAGTTGAAAAGTCAGAGAGTTTTGGATTAAAATGAGCCTGTGTTAAGATCATAGTAAATGCTACTAATGAGCTATTTGGCTCTAGGCAAATGATGAACTATGCTGAGTCTAAGTTTTTATTCACCTCATAAGGTTGTGGTAAAGACTAACAAAATAACATACATAAAGTGTAAAGTAGAATTCTCAGCAAATATTAGGTGTATAATCAATAGGAGCCATTGAGACACCACAGTATTAGTAATTGCTAAGCATCTCATCTGTAAAATAGGTATAGCATACTTTTTAGTTATTTCTTGAAGATTACAGATAACATATGTAAAGTGATAACACATGCAAACTGCCTGGAATATAGCTGGTGTTCAATGAATGTTGTTACTTAAGAACATCTTGCAAGGGTCCAAGTGACAAGATAAACTAAAGCAATAGCAAGAAGGTTGAAGAAAAGAGGCTAGATTCTAGGGATCATTTTGAGGTAGAACTGACAGGATTTGGTGACATGGAATGGGAACATGAATTCGGGAGTAAGCAGCATATGGTAGTCCATATCTTGGGAGTCTGGAGTGCCAAGTGAAGAGGATCAGATGTAATAATATGAGAATACTAATATTCAAGGGGCAGAAGGAAGAGAGAAAAGCAAGGAATGAGGCAGTGAAGGAATGATGCGATATGGAAATGAATCAGAAAAGCAGAGCCATGGAAGCTCTAGGAAGAAAGACTTCCAAGAAATATGAGTAAGATGAATATATAATTGTGCTAAAGTACATGACAATCAGATGGGTCATCAGTAAAATTCAGGGAAGCAATTTTGGCATCAAAGTTGTTTTTCTATTGCTCAAATCCCAATGACAGCACCTTTATCATTCTTTTTCACATTCTACTTACCCTGAACAATTAATTCCACCTGTGTTCTGTCTCTTCCAGCCAGATTAACTCCTTCACACACATAAATTCCAGAATCTTCCATCCTCATAGCAATTAAAGTGAGAGTTGCGTTCTCAGAAAGAAGCTGTAGATTCCCATTATCTAACTTCTTGCTCCAGAGAATCTGTGGAGCTGGTAGACCTTCACTGGAACATGTCATTGTCACGGAGCCACCTTCCTGCAGCCTTTTGGAGGGATTCACAGAGATAACTGTGTTCCTGGGTGAGACTGAAAAGGCAGAGCACGATATTAGTAATTGCTAAGCATTGTCTCGATCCAAAAAGGATGGTGTATTTCTCTCACAGACTGTATTTATGTGCTTTTACAAATTTGGCAAACTTACTCTGCCAAACCAGTATAGAGAATTGGGGAGTCATAAAAATTAGCTAATCCAGTTTTTGACTAATTTAATTCAGCTACTTTTTTGGATGTTTGGTGTTTTCAGATGGCCATAGATACTCAGAAATTAAGAAAGACCTTTTGGGTAATGTGGTTCAATCTTCCAGATAAGTAGAGTCCCATCTCAGCATCCTTGCCAAGTCTTCATCCAAGTTGGCTCAACACTTATGGCACAAGGCAATCTCCTACCTTACAAAACTTCCATTTGATTTTTGGACAGCTCTAAGTATTGGAACATTTTCTCCCTATTAAGCTGAAAATCTTCCTCTTTATAACTAATTTTTACACATTGGTCATAGTTTAGTCCCCTGCTGTTACAGAATAAATCAAATCCCTCTCCCACATGACTGTCTTTCAAATACTTAATTATAGCTCTCTTTCCCAAGTTTTATATTCTCTAGGAAAAATATCCCCTATTTGACTATTCTTTTCAAAATATTGATGAAAGTCTTTCCATCTCATTCTCTTTCAGCTGAACATGCTATAGTTGTCAATACTCCTTTCAAATGTGGTGTCCTGAGGAGAACACAGCATTTTAGTCTGGAACAGAGCACAGAGAGTCCAATTCTACACAATTCTAGGACTACAAGACTGCTTAAATCTCCTGGCCCTCTCAGGGAGGGTGGAGGCAATCAAAACTCATGTCCAGTCTGCCAAATGCACATGTATACGTGTGAGCACATGCATATGCACACATACAGAATAAGTGCTCACCTGGTAAAATCCCCATACCTTGATATTTCAAGGCATATTATAAGAGTTTACAAAACAGGATTAAAAACATTTTATCACTTGAGCCTATTTCTTACTCCCCAATCAGGTAGTATTATTATTCTCTTTTACAGGTTGGGAAATAAAGATATTGAGTGACTCAAGTTTACACGGTTAGAGGAGCCAGAACCCAAGCTCAAGTCTTCTTACCCAAATCCAGTGCTCTTTTTTCATTGAGTTATGCTGTTGACAAATATTATTTTCTCAATGAATAAAAATGGAGTAAAAACTACAAACAAGTTTCTTCTTGACTTTAGCTGCTAAGTTTATTGCCATATACATCCAAGACTAAGTTCCCATAAAGACCTGACTACATCACGTGAGTACTTACTGTAGACTTGTAATGTTTTTGTAGTCTCCTTTTCTTTGAGCTTAAAATCAATTTCATCAATGTGTAATTTAGCTCCACAAACAAGAGTTTTTCCAATATCCTCATTGGTAGGAGTAAAGGTTACTTCCAAACTCTTGGTTTCCAAGGCCTTGACATCCGTATCCTCTACAAATTCCTGATTCTTCATGAGATGGTCACCCTTGAGTAAATGCATCTCCAGCCTGTCAAATGGGTAAACATCTCGGACCAAACATGTGACCGTGACTGGCTTCCCAACCTCCAGAAGACCACTGAAACTGATCTCTGGGTCCTCAGGGAAAGCTGTAAAGGTCAAACAAATACATGTCAGTGGGGTTTTTGCTCATGTTGCATAAGGTCCCTTATTGATTTCATGCAAGGTAAGCCAAGCCTAATGTTTTTGTTAATACAGTCCTAATTTATTTTTTAAATCGCCTTCCACAGTTCACGAATCGGAATGAATCACCTTTTAGAGAGTTCTTCAGTTCTTATCCTGCGTGTGCTAAGGGTTGTGTGTTATTGGAGTAAAAGAAGGCAGAAGAACTTAATGTTTATTGAGTACTTATATATGCCCATCACTGTGCTTTTCATTTAACATAAGTGATTTCATTTTATCCTCACGATAACCCTAAGAGATAAAGACTACATTTTACAGATATGAAAACACAGACAGTGCATTTGCATAACTTGCCTAAGGTCACACAGCTAGTAAATGATTTACTGGGCTGAGATTTAAACTCAGGATTTCCATTATTCTGCATTGCTACTGTAGATTTATATTATGTTATATCACATTCTCTTATTTAAGTCAGGGCAGATATATTTCCATTTTACAGATAAGGAACTTGAGGCTCCGAATGTCATTGCAAAAATAGTTATTGGGCAAGGTATTCTAAGAAATGAAAAGAACAACTTTAAATAATTGGCTTCTGAAAATGAAGCCTCTGACTGGAATTTATCCACCAGAAAGGCATACCTGTGCCATCTTTAAATCCTAGAAGGCACATTTGCCTGCTGAAATGCCCAACTCAAAGTCCTAAGCAGTACTCCATTCGAAACTTTCAGCGCCGAGGCAACACCCTGTTTCAGTCAGCCACTGCGTGCTTTGCAAGGCCTACCTTTTCATTACAAACCTTCATGATGGTAACACATTGGCTGGATTCAATACTCTGTTTAATAAGAACACAAAGGTCCCAACTCTAAAGAATATTACGATAGAATGTGGAATGAAGACAGGACTGTTAAACATAATTAGAGACAGACATTCTTGAAGAAAAATCTCAGGCAAGATAATTAAAGCCAGAGGGTCTTCGTTTCTCTTTTTTAAATCTTCAGCTATTTGGTACTTGTGAGCAAAGGCAAAGGAAATGGAAATGCTTTGTTATGTGAAAAAACGTATTTTATATTTTTCCATCAATAATTTCTGATCCTCATATTCTGTGAGAAATGTGCCTATAGTCCACATAGTTTGCTGTCAGGTAATATAAGAACTTGCTACTTTTCCCTGTATTTACATAAGGGGGCCTTTCAAGGAGCACAGGAGGCTGCACAGACATGAGCTATGCATGTACAACCAGCATAATTGAAAGCAGCCGGCCAGGCACAGTTTCTTGGGAAGCATTAGCAACACATGGGGCTTGTTGAAGAATCAGTTAACGTTACTGGGCAAAGTTGAGCTCCACTGCACCAGAAGGGAATCAACATATTTACAAGATAATCAAATGAGGTTTTCATGAAGAGATGACCATAAAAGAGTCCAGTTTTTTTAAAGAGTCGTCATCAGTAACTAAAGGCAAGTGATTTATTTCAGGTTAGTTTTTTACTCCCTTGCTAACTTTATTTTCTAGATTGAGAACAGATTGGGATGCATTTTGGTAGAATGGTAAAACTAAGGATAACCATTCATATTAGCAAGGCAAATCTAATTTATTATACAAATACCTTTGAGGTTGAGCAGTTGAGCATTAAGGTTTAATGGCACACACACACACAAATTCCTAAATGTATCTATGTCAAAACCAAATGAGTGAAATGTTTGCAGATATTTTTCTTATGTCTAAGGGGAAAACTTTTGTACAAAAGCCTACTACTAAATTATAGATCTCCTACTTAAACTGATTTTAAGCACTAAATTGCATAAGAATAGATAAATGGAAAATCTCTGAAGGATGGAATTCATAAATCATTTAGACATACGGCCAAGTAAACATGAAATGATATAATCAAATAGAAATTTAAAAATGAATAAAATAAAAAGAACTTTGGAGATCTTTATTTTATGGCTAAGAAAACCGAAGCCCAGAGAAGTTGAGTCTTACCCACGGTCACCAAGTTTGTGGCAGAGTTAGAAACAGAAGGCAAGATTTGGGTTCCTGATCTCAGCTGTCTATGGCTTTCTTGGTGCAGTATGTCCTCTAGCCAAGAATCGGGACATGAATATCCTTTTAAATTTTTTTCTTTTAAAGATATCCTTTTTTAAAAACTTATTTTAAAGCAAAACTGAGAGAAAATCAAAGATTCTCTAGAGTACTCACAGTAGAGATCCACCTGGACTCCTCTTTCCTGTTTGTCATGTCCACAAGTCGCCGTGCACAAGTAAGAGTGTTCATGCGCGAAACCAACAGGCTCCAGAGTCAGTGTGGATTTGGTCCCCTCGTTTATCACCTTCCCATTCAGTGGACTGTCTATCTGGGTCCTCCAAGAGAAAGATGGAGAGTCGCAGCCCGTCGTGCTGCAAGTCAGTGAAATGGAGTCACCAATCTGAGCAAGAATTTTGGATTCAGGGAAGATCTCAATTTTAAAAGCTTGAGCTGCAAAGGCAAAAAGAGAAAAGCAAACTTACTATTGGTTTGTTTAATATTCTACTCCCTCTCCTCTGTTCTAGTATAACGTCCAAAATACAAACTGGGTGATCTGTCCTAAACTGCTCCGAACCAACTACAAGGCAACCAAAAAGAACTGGAGTCATGGCCAAAGAAGGTGTTGGAATCATCTTCACTTAGGAGAACTCTCAGTTCTAACCCCGGTGCCCGTTTATCAGAGTTGTTTTGTTCTGTGCTAATTTTGATCTCATTATCAAGCACAGGAAACTAGACCTTACAAGAGATAGAATTCAATTACTCACTTGACAGTGGAAAAAGGTATCCAAAAAGCGTCAATTTGCAGCTCCAACTATGACACTTTAATGGTATATAGCAATATGCAATAGCACACTAAAGGTTAGGTTAAATTAGAATTTCCCACTGTTTGAAAATCCTAGTGCCTTTCTTTACTACCATAGCAAAACTGACTGAAGCCAAAAATCAGGGCTAAAATGGAATGTGAGCATTTGGAACAGATCAAGGAGAAGAACTTACAAGCTGCAAACACCATCCAAAGTATATTTAAGGCTCCAAAGATCACGACCGTCTTCCTAGGCATTTTAAGTTGCTCCTGTGATGAGAAAATAATGGTTCCAAAACTCTTCTTTCCGTCCCACCTGAAAGTGCTCAGGAAGTCTTTAGCTCCCAAAGCCAGTGAGGCTCAGTGAGGAGTGAAATGGAAAGTCTGCTCTTTATAAAGGGTCTTGTTGCAGAGGCGCAGAGGCGGAGGGAAATCCCTTCGAGGGGAAACCCGGAGCAGAGCCAAAAAAAAAGTTTAACTGACACTCAGCCAAGTCCAGTGTTAACCCCTTCAGTTCCTCTCAGTACTGAACCTGCTCCCTCTGCCCTAGGAAAATGGAACACTTCCAAAGCTATAAAATTAAAGCTTTTCCTGATTTTCACTCCAAAATGATATATTTGCGAGAAAGGTAGGTAACAGTCATTGCAGCATGAAGCTTTCTGAATCCAGTGTGGGAAAAGAGAGAGAGAGAGAAAATAATAAATCATACTCTTGTTTTTGAAGTGGCTAAATAACTACTATGTCATGTGAACTGATTAAGACATATTTGCAATGCTAAAATAGGGGCTAACTTTTCTCTTACAAGACAAAGGAAAAAGTCTTATCTTTTGACGAGTAATTCTTAAAAAAGGAGACAGCATAACTTCTTAGTTTTATACTTTTTATTCAGAAAAATGGTTCTTTTGACTTCAAATATCAACTTTGTGAGATGATTTTTCTTAAGTGGAAGGTAAAGGAATGCTACCAAAACAGGAGAAATAATTTTTCTCTTTTTTTTTCAGAAAATTTACCAACACTTTGGTTCAATTGCTGGGTAATTGGAAGTCTTTCTGCAGACTTAAATGCAAATGTACAGAATTTATCTGAAGTAGTAAATCTCTTGGACTGTGAGATTTTACCACAGACACAGTGAAAACATGAAAAATAATTTGTTTTTGTTATAGGGGAAATGATGATAATCAATTTTATGCTCTTTTGTCCCCCAGTGAAATTTCTTTCTTAAAGCTGTTTTAAAATGGCTGTTTTAGCCTTACACACACATAGCTCAAGTCATTGCAAAATGCTTGCCCATCAAAAAGAAACCGGAATCGGCACTTCCTTGTAATACATACAGGCAGGTCTACCACCCCCATTGGATCCCCAGTTCCTTTCACGGCTGACACCATTCTTGTTCATCATTGTGTCTCCCTCTGCCTTGCCAATATCTAATGCATGATTTTGCACTTAGTGGATACCAAAAAAAGTGCAATAATAAATATTATAAATTAAATTTTGGAGAAGAAACTTACGAAGGCTAACAGTAACACGTAAATACTGCATGAGGAAAATGTTGGATTCTACAAGAAAATCCCAAAGCTCACAGAATCATGGGGTATGTATGATAAACAACCCTGTGCTATGTGATGAAGGCTATCACTGAAGTTTGGAATCTACACCTGTCCCTACATGGCTGGGGAGGCTTCTGGGCTTCCTCCTGGATACTCATGAGGCTCCCATTAAAAACCAAGGAGAGAAAAAGAAGTGGGAGAAGCTGTTCTAGGGCTGTGATGATAGGTCAGTGTGACTTCAGCTACCAAATATCTATCAGAAAAATGGCTTCAGGCAAAATTAGCTATAAACAAGTAACCTAGAGGTCCTTTACAATATTAGTGTCATGAGAGAAGATGATCAGAACCATTTATGTTGATGCTTAACTTCAGGAGAGATCTAAAGGGGATTATGGAGTTTGAATGCATTTCTCTGATGTGCAAATACAAGTGACCATAGAATCCAAAATAGGATCACAAAGACTAAGTTATGGAAAGTAACTTCAGTTTCTGGATATGATTTTAAGTTTGGAACATTAGAGAAAAGCCTAATCCATTGAATTAGTTCATAGTAGTTCCAGCAAAACATTTGATAAAGTTCTTCACTGTATCTTTGAGTAGGATATCATTGTAGGTTCTGCCTCTTTCTCCCAAGTTGAATTGATTACATTCTCTTCTGTGGTCTCTCTACACTAGTGAATACTGGTAGCAGAGGGCTTGTCATGCTGAGTTTATCTGTTAACATGTCTATCTTTCTTAACTTACAAACTCAAATGATTTCATCTTTTTCATATTAGCATCTAGCCCAGAATAAGGTGTTTATTAAAATTTATGGAATGAATGAGTGAATAGAATTGCAAGTGAAGGTTAACGGATTGGGACTAATCTTCCTGGAGAGAGGGTTATTGTGTTTTGTCTTTGAAATTGTTCAGTTCAACATTTTTGTCAGTAACACAGAAGACATGATTATCTAATTCATTCATAATGCAAGACTGAGAAAGATAGTGAACCTTGGAAATAATAGAATCAAGGTAAGGAAGATCACAAAAGATATAATAATGGTCCAGATGATGAAGTGAACTTCAATGGGAATGCATTAAAGTCTAGCATTTAGACGTAAAACGTCAAATACTTAAGTACAATATGGAGGAGAGTTGACTTGACCATAATCCGTAGAAAGACCCTCTGGTGGTTTTAGTGACCCCTAAAGTGAAAATGAGCCAAGATTGACTTGGGAAACCAAAATATATGCAGTAAGCTCATGCAGCACTCATGGCATTCAACCTTCTAGTCACCTGAGGCCATGGGTCTCCAAGACCACATTGGGAGCAAGGGTGTCTGATTCAAGATGCCATTTCTCATGAGACGGATTGAAAAAATAGAGTGTTCAGAGGAAAGTGATGAGGATGGTAGACAGCTGCAAAATCCCTGACCTAGTAGGAGCTGTTGAAGGAACAGGATGTTTTGTTTGGGTAAGAGACACCTATGAAGCCAAGTGATAACTGCATGGCTGATGTGTGGAAAAAGGAATATACTTGTTGCTCTGTGTTATAGGAAGGGCTAAAAGTAAGACTCATTGGTAGGCAGTTACTAGATTATTAACTCTAGGAGGGCCAGGAATGTGTGTGTACCCTGTTTACCATTAGAGCTTCAGCACTTAACATAGTGACCACTAGATAGTAGGGGCTCAGTAAATCAATATTGAATGAATAAATAATAACAATTTAAAAGAGAATTTGACTCATAGCTCAATAGTCATGAGTTCAAATCCAGCTACTCCACCTAGGAATTGTAAAACCTTACACAAGTATAGATAGCCTGTCTGCATTTGTTTACACATGCTCAAAGAGGGATAATAGTACCATTTCAAGTGATTCACATGATTTTTATGACTATCAGATAAAGTGATCATGTGAAATCTCTTTAAATAAATATACAAAGTGCTATATAAATGGCATGTAATAATATTAAGATACAATCATATTAAGTTCATTGTAAAGAAGGACTTTCCAGTTATTAAATCTTTTCAACAATGGTATGGGTCACCTTGTGAATTCGCCAACTCCTGGCCACTGGAAGTGGTCACGTAAGGTTGGATGACATCTCCCAACAATGTGATAGAGGTCAAGTTTTGCCTTTTGTGACATATCCAATTGGATGGCCACTAAGCTGCCCTCCCATGTTAAGAGTCGGTTATTGTGGGCAGTGCTATCCATTCTTTCTAGCCTAATTTCATCAATCTCCTCATTGTCCATATGAAAATTCTAAGCATCTTCTGATACTTCTCTGGTTGGACTTTGAGATGCTTCAGGCATACTTCTTTCAGCCTGTTTAATAACTACTGAGTTTGTAGCAACTCCAACTCTTTCATGACTTTCAAGCAGTCAGTTTATCGTGGGTCTCCCTGAAGCAGTTCCCTAATTTTTTTCTTGAGTGACCTAACACATTTAAGAGAAGCAACACTACCAGTAGTAACAGTGGCTCATTATGAGAGTGATTTTCACCCAGGTGAGAGGAAAAGCAATTCCTTTTTTGGAGGGCATATCAGAATGGTGTGGGGAAAATGACAAACCACTTCAGTAGATTCTAAAATGTCAGTTCCTCCCCACTTGAACATTACTACTTTAGATAGATTCAAAAGATCTAAGTCTTTGTCTCCATTTGGCTCTATGTAACAGAAATCTTTTACAAAAGCATCATAATGAGAGGTCCAGGAGTATGCAGTTCAAAGCTGGATCAGCTACTTGAAGTAAACATCCAGGGCCAAGATTGATTCTAGTTTCTGGTTCTATCATCCTCAGCATATGGCTAACCCTCATGACCCTCAGGCGGCTGCTCCATCTCAAACATTACATCTGTATTTCAGGCAGGAAAAAAAGGGAAAAGTGAGGGGCAAGAGGACAAAGCCAGTGGAGTTTATCCCCTTTTGAAGAGCTTTCCAAGAAATCCCGTGTGGTGACTTCCACTTATATCTCATTGAAAAAGTGGGAGATTGAATATTTTAACTGCCCCAAATGAATCAGGATTCTGTTCATAAGAAAAAAGGAAGATGGATGATGTGTAGGCAATTAGCAGTGTCTGTCATAGTTTCCTAATTCACAAAATGTTTATTGAGCAACTGCTGTACAGACACTGTGCTAACACTGGGAACATATATGTAAATAAAGACATGGACTCAGTTCCTGTATCAAAATGAAGAGGAACTGAATATCAACAAAAAAACTTTCACATAATTCAGGTTGTGACTCACAGAGGGGCTATTTATTTATCATATGTCTGTAATAGGGAAATAAAACATATTTTAGCAAGCTGATATGAATTTGAAATTTTCTGGAAAGCAAACTAGGGGAAGGATCATTGCTTAAAAGCCTCCTTCACTGTGGATTTATTGTGACTTTCTCTATTTTGAGAAAAATGGTGCTTATCATTAAGAGTAAAACTGTCTATTTAATAAAACACATGTACCTGATAGGAGAGATTTACTGAATTTTTAATCTGGCACTGAATTATTACATAAAATAGTAATAGGAAGAAGACTGCCAATATAAGAATTATTTCTCCTTTCCCTTTTGTAAACGTATTTAACAGAATCCAGAATTTAATCATTTGTGCTTTGACTATCCCGTGTATTTAAGTTCAGCCTTTCATATGGACAAAGGTCCTTTGTGTATCTCAGTTCTCCTGTTTGGGATGACCTTCCCTTACTCTCTGCTAATCTCTGCCCTTCTTAAAAAACACCTTGCCTAGAAATTGTTCCATTACTCACTATTTCCAGCCTGGACTTTACTTTCTCAACAGATTTTAACACTTTGCGTATAGAAATCTTACCCATTTTTTTACATATTCCCTGCTTGGATGCTCTGTCTGCCCCAAGTGCATGTGAAGTGATATGAAATAAACAAGCACATGCTTTCTGAGCTGCTGGGTGCCATTGCACCAATAGATAATTATTGAGGCAACAATTCAGAACACTTCTTTTAGTTATTAATAACACTTCATATTTGTGTAACTCTCCACCTAAAGAGTTTTCCAAAGTGCCTTAAGATTATTGCCTGTGAACCTCATAGCAACCCTATGAGAGAGGTAAGGTGGCTATTTTTATCTACACAATGTTGATTGGGAAACTGAGGCTCAGAGAAGTTTAGTTGAACCAGACCACACAGAC